CTTAATTATCAAGATAACTAACTTCTTTAATTATCATACTTGTTTTGTTCTGTTTCTCCAACATGAAGGTGGAGTACATAATGATATGATCCATGAAGTCGATCAGCCGAACAATGAAGTCTATTCAGAAGATGAAACTATTTTAGCTGAAAAAGACAATATTAGAGACTCTGAAATATTGGAGCATGTGAAGATCAACATTGATCCCGGTACGCCTGTCTCGACTTTGAGAAATCTCATCAAGAGTACAAAATCAAAGCCATCATTGAGCAAATATGAGCTACAAAAAGCGGAAAAGACATTGCAACGAGCCTTCGTTGAATTTTACCAGCAGCTTCGCCTTCTGAAAAGCTACCAGTATGAAATTAAAAAATAAAATAAAAAAAAAAAATCTTATTTAGACAACTTTACAATTTTTGTATGTGCCTACTCAAGTTAGCTGCATAATGTGGCAGTTTCTTAAATATGCTTGCTTTCTCCAAGATTATGAAGAAGTATGACAAGGTATGCATACTCCAAATATTTTCATGTAATTATATAATTGAATCTAAATAATTAGTTTAGTAAATTCCAAAAGATAATTGGATTTTTTTCTCTGTTAGACCTCAGTAATAGTTTAGTAAATTTCTTCCTTGTTGTAAATGATTGTTTGTTTTGCAGATCACTTCAAGGAACACTTCAACTTCATTTATTGAAATAGTTGGAAAGTCGTATCTTGGCAGCTGTAATGAGGTTCGTGCTCGTTACACATGCCACTCGACCTTTACTAGTTGTGTGTATATATATATATATATATATATATATATATAGTATAGATTTAAATTGTGATGATGTGGCATTTTTAGGTGAACATGCTTGTTGAAAGACTAGAGAAGACATTCATTAAACACTTCACAGATGGTGATCGTAGAAAAGGGATGAACTACTTGAGACCCACAACAAAAAAGGAGAAGCACAGTGTATCGTTTTTCCTCGGTAAGCTTGGACAAAAGAAATCAATTTATTAAGATTTCATAATTTAATATTGACATTAAGAAAATCAGACTAAGATTGGTCCCAGTAATTTTTACACTAAAAAAATTATGGAGAGCAGAGTGTCTTTTTATATGTTTAGTGATACTTATAGTTCGAAACTTTTGCAAACATGCAAGTAAGTACAAATGATGATTAACTTTTAAATTTCACCTTTAGGAAATTACCAATTTAGAATTCGATTTTACCCTTTTGCAGGTCTATTCACTGGTTGTTGTGCAGCACTGATTGGGGGTATAAACGTCTCAATACACGCTCGTGACCTTCTTGATCATGAGGGACGAGAGCAATACATGTCAAATATATTTCCACTCTACAGGTATATTGCTTGTAAATATAAATAAATAAATATATATATATATAAGGCAAAATTGTATTTTTAGTCCTGCTGGTGTAACGCTATAGCATTTTTAGTCTCATGATTTTCAACTTTTTGTCTTTTGATCCTGTAATTTAGTATTTTGCTACAATTCAGTCCTTTGGGACTTAAATTACAACAAAATTTAAAATTACAGGACTTAAATTGCTAATAAAAAATTTCATCCCAAAGATTTTTTTTATAAGCAATTTAAGTCTTGTAATTTTAAATTTTGTTGCAATTTCAGTCCTTTGAATTTTAAAATTATAAGACCAAGTAGCAAAATGTTCAATTGTTAGGACTAAAAAAATCACTGGATCAAGCCAACAGGACTAAAATTACAATTTTGCCTATATATAATGTGATTTGGTTGAAGAAAAATTATTTCATTTTATTCCAAAATAGTTAATAAATCATTGTATTTGATTTTTGTAGCTTGTTTGTGTACATTGTCCTACACATGGTCATGTATGGAGCAAACACATATTTATGGAGACGGTACCATGTGAATTACCCCTTTATATTCGGATTAAAACCCGGAACAGAATTAGGATTTAGAGAAGTATTTCTATTAGCTTCGGGACTTTCGGCACTTGGGCTTGCAGGTGTGCTAGCAAACTTAGACATGGAAATGGATCCAGAAACAGAGAAGTTTCAGATGCTAACAGAGTTGGTTCCATTAGGCCTTGTTACTGTGAGTTTCAACATGTTTAACAATTTGGGCCTTCATCTTTTACTATTTGGGCCTTCAAGTATGAAAACTTTGGGCCTTCATCTTTAATTACTATCTTGGTTGGTATTTGCTTAAAGGTGGTGCTTCTCATAACCTTTTGCCCTCTGAACATCATTTATCGTTCGAGTCGTTTCTTTTTCATTCGGTGTGCATGGCGCTGTATATGGGCACCTCTTTACACGGTACCAAAAATTATACATTAGTTTTGTAATTGTAATAACTAAAAGGCAAAATTGTAGTTTTAGTCCTGCTGGTCTAACACCGTAGTATTTTTAGTCCCAAGATTTCAATTTTTTATCTTTTGATCTTGTAATTTAGTATTTTGCTGCAATTTATGTCCTTTGAGACTGAAATTACAACAAAATTTAAAATTACAGGACTTAAATTACATGACTGACATTGTAATTTTAAATTCTGTTGCATTTTCAGTCCCAAGTGACTGAAATTGCTTTGAATTTTAAAATCAATTGACCAAATAGCAAAAATGTTCAATTCTTAAGACTAAAAACGCCACTAGATCAAACCAACAGGACTAAAATCACAATTTTGCCTAACTAAAATAAATACATACCTCATTGCCTTGTCGCTTTATTTTATAGGTTACTTTCTCAGATTTCTTTTTGGCAGATCAGCTGATAAGCCAGGTAGGTACATACATATTTCCGAATTTACAAAATAGGAAAAATGTTACAATATGGGTAATTTTTGCAGATTCAGGCTATAAGAAGTCTGCAATTTTACGTATGCTACTACGGATGGGGTGACTTTCGAAGAAGGTCAAACAAGTGCCTTGAGAGCGACATTTATGAGATTTTTTATATTGCCGTTGCCATTATTCCATTTTCATCCCGCCTTCTTCAGGCAAGCCTTGTATATATATTATTTGTTTGCTTTCTCTAAGACATTAATTAAAAAATTAATCAAACTCTAAAAAAGTGTTTTGTGTGCGAATGGATAAATTCAGTGTCTTCGTGTCCTGTTTGAGGATAAAAACCCGAAACAATTCTTCAACGGTTTGAAATATTTTTCGACTGTTGTTGCACTTGTGATGAGGACAATGTATAGTTTGAGGAGACAAACATTTTGGAGAGTATTGGCTGCATCAACTTCGGGAGTCACAACCGTATACAACACGTATTGGGATATTGCCATAGATTGGGGGCTTTTGCGCAAAAATACAAAAAACAGATGGCTCAGAGACAACCTCCTCATATCGTGCAAGCCCGTCTATTTTGTTGCCATTGTTAGTATCTCAATATATATATGAGTAGTTCTTAAATTGTAAAAGTTTGTTTTGAGTTTGATTTTTGTGCAGGTGGTGAATGTGTTGTTGAGGCTTGTTTGGATGCAGTTGATTCTTGATTTCAATGAAGCTCCGTTTCTGCATAGGAACACAATGATTTTAATTGTTTCATGCTTAGAGATACTTCGAAGGGGCATTTGGAATTTCTTCAGGTATGTATATTCACCAATCACCACCATTTGCAAAAGCTTTGTTACTCTTTTTAAGTTTAGCAAAATTATAGAACAAATACAAAACGCTTCTTTCAAATTACAAAATGACTCATTGATATTCGTAAATCAGCCAGTAATAACGTATAAGTTTGTTCAAAATTAGCAGGTTGGAGAACGAGCACTTCAATAACATTGAGAAATTTCGGGCATTCAAATCTGTCACGTTGCCTTTTTACTACCAAGATGGGAAGATGATGTAAAAGTAAAACCTGAAGATATTCTACCTTCGTTTTAATTTTTTTTCTTTTTTCCTTAATTTTTTGTCCACAAATCTAAGGTGAGTGTCTTTTTACATTATTAAGATGTTCCTTCTTAGGGAAACTTTAGTGGGACATTTTGGAGAAGTTTGTAAACCTCATATAGTCATATTACCCATGTTATCATAAAATGAGAATTGAGAAAGTTTTAGGTTTTCAAAGCAGTGTGGAAAGTGAGACAGTGGTAGATTGTGAATTTTCCAACACAATTGTATCAAATAAATGCGTGGGAGATTGAAATTTTGTCACGCCAGGCCATTTCCTTTATTTCTTTTCGTTTTTATGATATCTTTTAATTAGGTTTGTGTTTCACACTTTATGCATAAACTTTAATCAAATATGTACATTATGTTTTAGTTTTCTTCTTAAAAAGTATAATTGTGTTATAAATGTCAAATAATTATCATCCATTGAGAAAAGTAAGTGTAATTTTTTAAGGTAATTGCATCTTTTGTTAATAAAATGATATTATATATATATATATATAAAGGACGAGTTGTTCATGTTTGGAATGGATTTAATTATTCGGCGTAATAATTTTGTAAATTCTGTAGAGATTGCTTATATTTCTTATGTGTATTGCATGTATACATGCATTAGTTTCTATTTTGTGTTTTTTGGTCTTTTATTTTTCTGTTCTTTTCCTGTGAACAAACGCGTATAGCGTTTTATCTTTGTCTTTGCATTTCTTTAAGTGCGAACGGCGTCGTTTAGCATAATAAGGATTAATGTTGTAGATGACGCCGTATAGGAGTGAGCTGAGGGATTATTTGCACAAGTATAAATGTGCATGTCTTGTACGTACGGATTTGAGTTGAATGAAAATTACCTCATCCTTTCCAGATATTTTTCCATTTCTTCAGATTCAACATGGTATCGAGAGCTTGACGCGGTCCTGATGAGCAAGAGTTGATTCCTGATTATGGCGAGCAATCGGACCACAGATCCCTGGCCATTACTGAATGCTCGAATGAGCAGTGGTGTTGAAGATCGAGAGGATAATCCTCTTTTTCTACATGGATCGGATAATCCAGGTATACAACTGGTCTCAAATCAACTTACTGGTTCGAATTTCTTAGCTTGGAAACGATCGATGATGATTGCATTGGGAGCTAAAACAAGCTAGGGTTTGTAAATGGTTATGTTCCTCAACCAAGTCCAAATGATCCAGATTTTGAGAAATGGAAGAAAGTAGGTTGGATGGTACTATCGTGGATTCTAAATTCCTTGTCTAAAGAGTTATCTGGTGCTTTCCTTTATGCTGAAACTTCGGAAGAACTGTGGGATGAAATTTGCCAAAGGTGTGAGGAAAGTAGTGGTCCCTTGATTTATCAATTGCAAAGGGATATAGCTAATCTGAAACAGGGAACAGATACAGTTATCGTATATTTCAACAAATTGAAGAGGATGTAAGATGAGCATAACTATCTAGTGCCTCAATTGGTTTGTGGATGTGAAATTGGAAAGCAGATTTCAGAGCAAAACATGCAAGCAAGGCTCATGCAGTTTCTCATGGGACTTAATGAGAGCTATGATCATGTAAAGAACCAAATGCTGCTAATGGATCCCTTACCCGCAGTAAATAAAGCATATTCAATGATATTGTCAGCTAAGAGGCAAAGAGCAGTGCAAACTGGAAGTGAAATTAATACTAACATTGCCATGACTGTGAGAACTGGAAATAATGTGGGGAGAGGGTTTGGATTTAGACCTCAGGGAGTAAACTATGGAGGAGGAAGGGGCAGAGGAACACCAAGGATGTCCAAGAGGAGAAAGCCAAGTTGGTGTGTGAGAATTGTGGCTGGAATGGGCATAGTAAGGCCAATTGTTTTAAGCTACATGGATACCCGGATTGGTTCAAGGAAATACAAGAAAAGAAGGGCAGAAATATGGCTAATATGGCAGATGTTAGTGAAGGTGACAAGTCACAAAGGTCAGTGACTGATATAACAGCCTTGGCACAAGAAGTGGCTAGAATTCTAGAAAATTCTAACAGAGAAGAAAGCACAGAAAATAAGAAGCAAGAAGAGGAACAATATGTTAACTTTGTTGGCAATGAAGGATATCAGTATATGCACTTTGCATTGGATTCTTATGACAGTCTGAAAGAAGAGAGCTGGGTGATTGACACAGGTGCCAGTAGACGCATGTGCACAAACAAGGAAATGATGAGTGACCAGATGGAACTACAACAGCCAGTCAAAGTTTACTTACCAGATGGAACTACAAAGTAAGTAACAATTATCAGAAATGTTAAGGTGTCTACTTTCAAGTACAATCTACTTTTTGTCACACAAGTCTGCATCAACTCAGATTTGGATTGTAGATTTGATTCAGAAAAGTGTGTGTTCAGACACATACAAACTGGAAAAGTGGTGGGACATGGTCATTTGAAAGGGAAATTGTATGTCCTTGTTGATAATCGAGAAAATAAGGAAGCAAGTAATATATGCAGAATCAGTTTGGAAGATTGGCACAAAACCTTGGGACATGCTTCATATGGAGTATTGCAGCACATTCCTTTTCTTCATGACTACTGCACCAGTACAAATGAACACCAGCTGAGGAAATGTGATGTTTGTTTCAGGTCAAAGCAACACAGACTGGCCTTTCCCAGTAGCTCTATTCAAACAAAGAGGAGCTTTGAAATGCTTCACTAACTAACATTCCATACTTTCTTACAGTTGTAGATGATTTCAATAGAGGGGTTTGGTTATTTCTAATGGAAACAAAAGGAGAAGCAGTGGGATATGTGAAAAGATTTATAGCTATGGTGAAGACACAATTTGAGGCCACAGTCAAATGTGTAAGAAGTGACAATGGAATGGAGTTTGTTGGGAATGAATTTCAAAGTATGCTGCAGAGAGAGGGCATCAGTCACCAAAGAACTTGCAGCTACACTCCACAACAAAATGGTGTTGTGGAGAAAAAACACAAACAAATCCTGGAAGTGGCTAGAGGTGTCTTATTTCAGAGTGGAATGCCACTAAAATTTTGGCCCTATGTTGCTCTCACAGTAGCTCACTTTATTAACAGACTAACAAGTAGTGCACTGCAGTGGGAAACACCTTATGAAAGGGTTTATGAAGAGCAACCAGACTATGCTAGGATGAAGCCATTTGGATGTTTAGCATATGTTGTCAACACAAAGCCCACGAAAGGATAACTTGATTCCAGATCTCACAAATGTGTCTTCATTGGCTATCCACAGGGACAAAAGGGGTATGTGTTGTTTGATGTGGAACAAGAAACTAAAATTTTCTCAAGGGATGTGACCTTCCTTACAGACAACTTTCTTTATAAACAAAGTCAATTGATTGGAGACACCTCTGATATACCACTGCTTGTGTGTTAAGATAATGGGAATAAAGATGATAATGAAGTAGCCTCTGAGGAAGAAGAAACACCAATGCCACAGCTAGTTGGTAGGGCAAGAAAGCAGCCTGTGTGGATGAAGGATTATGTTAGCAATACTGAAATTGATGATCAAATGCTTAGCTTTCAGGCTAATCTAGCCTTAGAACAAGAGCCATTGAGCTATGAAAGAGCCAAAAGTGACAAGGTGGATAGAAGCAATGAATCAGGAGCTGACAGCATTGGAAAGTAATAAGACTTGGATTTTGTGTTACCTACCACCTGGTAAGAAAGCAATTGGATGTAAATGGGTATACAAAATCAAAAGGAAGGTAGATGGAAGTGTTGAAAGGTTCAAGGCTAGATTGGTGGCAAAGGGTTTTAATCAAGTAGAGGGTGTGGACTACTTTGATGTCTTCTCACCTGTGGCAAAATTGGTTACAGTAAGATTCTTTATAGCACTGGCTACAATGCATCAGTGGAACTTGTGGCAATTAGACATTAATAATGCCTTTCTTCATGGACACCTCAGTGAAGAAGTGTATATGAAGCCACCTCAGGGCTATTGTAAAGCTAAGGATGGGCAGGTTTGCAAGCTGATAAAGAGTCTATATGGCTTGAAACAGGCTTCAAGGGAATGAAATAGTGAATTCACTAGCAAACTACTCAAATATGGTTTGCAACAGTCAATGCAAGCTGATAAAGAGTCTATATGGCTTGGGTGTAGAAATATTCAGAAGAGGCAATGACACATACTTGTGCCAAAGAAAATACATTGTGAATTTACTTAGAGATTTTGGACTGGAAAATTGTGGAGCACCATCCACTCCTTTTCCCTCAAGCCTTAAACTTTCAATCTATGATGGCACACCAATGGAAGAACCAGAGAATTATAGGAAGCTCATTGGCAGACTTTTGTATCTCAACTTAACAAGGCCAGATCTTGGTTATGTGGTGCAACAGCTGAGTCAGTTTGTGAACAACCCATTCACCAATCACTAGGAAGCTGCTTTGGGGGTTTTGAAATATCTCAAAGGAACTGCATCTTTGGGATTGTTCTATCAGCACAGCCTTGATCACACTATATATTCTTATAGTGATGCAGGTTGGGCAGCTTGTAAGGATACTAGAAGATCCATCACTTGGTTCTGTATTTTCCTTGGCCCTAACCTCATTTCATTGAGAAGTAAGAAACATACCACTGTTTCTAGATCCTCAGCCGAGGCTGAGTACAGAGCAATGGTCACCACAGTTTGTGAGCTTCAATGGCTTCATGTCTTAGGTGCTGACCTACAGGTTCACTCCCTTTTGCCTATTTCTCTATGCTGTGACAACCATGCTGCTATGCATATCACTGCCAGCCCCGTCTTTCATGAGCGCACAAAGCACCTTGAAATCGATTGTCATGTGGTGCACAATAAATACAAGGAAGGCTTTATCCAACTTCATTATGTTCCCTCGGGTTTACAAGTGGTTGACATATTCGCAAAGATCTTACCTGCTGCTCGCTTTGCTGATTTGAGGTCCAAGTTGGGCATGGCTCTTTCAACCCCTTCTCCAACTTGAGGAGGGGGTGTAGAGATTGCTTATATTTCTTATGTGTATTGCATGTATACATGCATTAGTTTCTGTTTTGTGTTTTTTGGTCTTTTATTTTTCTGTTCTTTTCCTGTGAACAAACGCGTGTAGCGTTTTATATTTGTCTTTGCAATTCTTTAAGTGCGAACGGCGTCGTTTAGCGTAATAAGGATTAATGATGTAGACGACGCCGTATAGGAGTGAGCTGAGGGATTATTTGCACAAGTATAAATGTGCATGTCTTGTACGTACGGATTTGAGTTGAATGAAAATTACCTCATCATTTCCAGATATTTTTCCATTTCTTCAGATTCAACAAATTCATTTTTTTTTTC